CAGAGATGGGGTTTCACCATGTTGACCAGGATGGTCTCAATCTCTTGACCTCGTGATCCACCCGCCTCGGCCTCCCAAAGTGCTGGGATTACAGGCTTGAGCCACCGCGCCCGGCCGAGATGACTCATTTTTAAAAAGGGGAAGTTGAGATGGGAACTATTTGGTTGAAAGAAAACCCAAAATCCAGTGCCAAGAAAGAAGTCAACTTTTCTTCCCCCCTTTCCCTGCATTTCTCTTCTGTGCCCATGGCCACAGGCAGCTCAGCCTGGACTGCACAGACAGATGTGAGATGCGTCTCTGCTGATTTGAGCCTGCCTGCAGCATGGACCTGCATCTTCGCTGAAGTATTTCCAGGGCTGAAGAGACAACTGCCAAAGTAAGAACCCCACAATGCTGTGCTGATGGACAGGCTGAAGGAGGGAGGGAGACCTCATGGGAGGCTGTGAAAAGGAAGAGGAATCCTTAGCTCACCCTCTTCTGGAACGGCAGATACAAGAAGGCACCAGTTCTATTTGCTGCTACATCCCAGCTCTCAGTGAGATGAGGACAAACCAGACAGACAGCGGTTGGGGGTCATTTCACCCCATTACAGTCTGAAATGTCTGCAGAGGGGTTAGGCCCACCCCCACCTCAGCCCTAAAGAAATGAGAGCCAGACTCCTGGGGAGGGCAGTTCTGCTTCCTGTGTGGCTGCAGATGACACAACCCCATGACAAGAACGACCTAGCCACCAAGTGTCCACACCCTGTGTGTCTCTGTCCTGCCAGCACCAAGGGCTCATCCATCCACAGAGCAGGGCAGTGGGAGGAGACGCCATGACACCCATCCTCATGGTCCTGATCTATGTCGGTGAGATTTGAAGAGGGAGGGGAGATTCTAACCTAGGAGGGAACTCACCCCACAGCCAAACTCTGGTCCATAAGGAGACCCCAGGGCTCACAAAAACCCCAGGGAGGGGAGGACCTTCTCAGGCTTCAGGGGCAAATCTCTCACAGGGAACTCTCTTCCAGGGCTGAGTCTGGGCCCCAGGACCCACGGGCAGGGAGGTGAGTCAGTCCCCAGCTGGCCCGGGTCGTCCTCCTCACTGGGGACAAGGCCCACCCCCGTGCAGCTGGGGAGGGGAATAGCAGTTCTGGGCTGACTGATGGGGGTCTGGAGGGTCCTGGGCTGAGAGCTGGAATCTGTTGGGTTGGGTGGAAATGACTTAGAATCTGACCTCTGATTTCCTGCCAGGGACCCTCCCCAAGCCCACCCTTTGGGCTGAGCCAGGCTCTGTGATCACCCAGGGGAGTCCCGTGACCCTCAGGTGTCAGGGGAACCTGGAAGCCAAGGATTATCATCTATATAAAGAAGAGACATCAGCATTCTGGCTTACGTGGATCCCACAGGAGCGTAGGAAGAAGGGCCAGTTCCCCATCCAGTCCATTGCCTGGCAACACGCAGGGCAGTATCGCTGTCAGTATCGCGGACGCACTCACTGGTCAGAGCTCAGTGACCCCCTGGAGCTGGTGGTAACAGGTGAGAGACACTCAGGGGTCCCAGCCCCAGGCTCTGCCCTCAGGAAGGGGCTCTGCACTCAGGGGCATCTCCCTCTCACAGCCCAGCCCTGGGGATGATGTGGGAGGTGTGAGCACCACTTGACACGGTGCCTCCTTCTCTTCTAGGAGTCTATAGCAAACCCACCCTCTCAGCCCTGCCCAGCCCTGTGGTGACCCCAGGAGGAAGCGTGACCCTCCAGTGTGGCTCACAGCTGGCATTTGATGGCTTCATTCTGTGTAAGGAAGGAGAAGATGAGCACCCACCATGCCTGAACTCCCAGCCCCATGCCCGTTGGCCATCCCGGGCCGTCTTCTCCGTGGGCCCCGTGAGCCCGAGTCGCAGGTGGATGTACAGGTGCTATGGTTATGACTCTCAATCTCCCTATCTGAGGTCTTTACCCAGTGATGTCCTGGAGCTCCGGGTCCCAGGTGAGAAATTCACAGCATTGCCTGGTAATCCCTGAGTCTCCGGGCAGGTGGGGAGGAGCCGTGTCTCAGGGCAACTCCAGGTGGGATGATGTTGGGGTGAGAGGGCTCAGGGCTCCTGGGCCAGAGACACAGGAAGATCTGCAGTGGTGAGGCTGGGGGAGAGGGAGGATTTGTGGGGAGCCTGAGGGTCGGCTCCTGGAGACCATGACCACCTTTCCCAGGTGTTTCTGAGAAGCCATCACTCTCAGTGCAGCCAGGTCCTGTTGTGGCCCCTGGGGAGACCCTGACCCTCCAGTGTGGCTCTGATGTCGGCTACGACAGGTTCGCTCTGTACAAGGATTGGGGACCTGACCTCCTCCAGCACCCTGGCCGGCAGCTCCAGGCTGGGCTCTCCCAGGCCAACTTCACCCTGAGCCCTGCGAGCCGCTCCCACGGGGGCCAGTACAGATGCTCCGGTGCCCACAACCTCTCCTCCGAGTGGTCGGCTCCGAGTGACCCCCTGGACATCCTGATCATAGGTGAGGTGCCCAGCGGGTTCAGTCAGGGACCCAGGCTCTGCACAGGCCCTGCCGGGGAGCCCAGGTGGTGATGGCCGGGATGAGAGGCGGGGGTCCCAGGGGAGGGAGAGACAGACAGAGACAGGGGATGGGCGGGGAGGGGGAGACTCAGAGAAAACAGAGACTGAGGGTCCCAGAGAGAGGCCTGGGGAGGTCTCAGCTCAGAACAAGGTGGGGCAGCCCCTCACCCATCCTTCTTCTCTCCAGGACAGATCCCTGACAGACCTTCCCTCTCAGTGCAGCTGGGCCCCACGGTGGCCTCAGGAGAGAATGTGACCCTGCTGTGTCAGTCACAGAGTCCAATGGACACTTTCCTTCTGACCAAGGAGGGAGCAGCCCATCTCCCCCAGCGTCTGAGATCAAAGTACCAAGCTCTTAAGTACCTGGCTGAATTCCCCATGAGTCATGTGACCTCAGCCCACGCGGGGACTTACAGATGCTACGGCTCATACAACTCTGACCCCTACCTGCTGTCTCACCCCAGTGAGCCCCTGGAGCTCCTGGTCTCAGGTGAGGCCCCTGACCCTGTCCTCTCTGAGCTCAAGGCTCAGCTCAGGCCCTGCCCCCAGGAGAGCTCTGGGCTGGGATGGAGGGAGGGGGTCTGAAGGAGGCTCAGCCAGAGGGGCCTCAGCCCTCAGAGGGAAGGAGGACAATGGGGCCCTCCCAGGCATACCCACCCTCAGAGGCCAGCATCCTGAAGAGGAGGGTGAGGGAGGGTACTGGAGGGCCACACGGCCAACATGGAGAAATTTGGTTTGAGGTAGAGGCTTCAGGCAAGACCCAGCTCCTCCCCTCCTCTCATTCTTTACACAGGACCCTCCAGGGGACCCAGCCCCCCACCCACTGATCCCACCCCTACATCTGGTGAGTGACTAAGGCCTCTTGGCTGGGAGGGAGTACGGCCTCCCCCAGGGCAGTCCTGAGTCTCCCAGAGGATCCCGTTCCTCTCAAGGACTCAGCATAAACTTCTCTCCAGAGAGCTGGGCAGAGACATAGAGGGGGCCACAGGCTCCCAGGGCTCTGAGGCTGGGCTGGTGAGGGGCAGCGGGTCGAGGCAGTGGGATTTGTTGGGGCCCAGCCTGAGGGAGGAAGCTGGACTGACATGGGGAACAGGACAGCCCCAGGCCTCAGCTCCCCATCCTGACCCAGCAGTCCCTGAGGACCAGCTTGTCACTCCCACAGAGTCAGATTCCCACAGTGGTTAGTCAGAGTCTCTGAGCAGGAGGTGGGTGGGGTCCAGGGGAGGCAGGGCTGAGTTCGGGCCCCTCCCCCGCCTAGGCCTCAGTTTCTCCAAGTGTAAAGGAGAGAGGCCTGCGGGGTGGGAAAGTTCCTTTCAGCTCTGACTCCTAGCTGTGACCTCCTGGGAGAGGAGGCCACCTAGGGAAGCCTCCCAGACCCGATTCCTCAGGGGCCTGTCCTGTCCCACCTGCAGCAGTGACAGTGACACTGACCTGGGGCAGGGGAGGGGAGCAGGGCCGTGGTTCAGGAGGTCAGGCTCTTTTCCTGCAGCTATGGGTCTCACCTCGGGTGCAGGGAACAAGGGCTGCAGGTCAGACTCCCGGGTTCCCTTCCCAGCTCTGCTGCTGCCTAGCTGGGGGGCCTAGGGCAGGCAACTCCCCTCTCTGAGCCTGTTTTTTGTCTGTAAAGTGAGTGGGATGGATGTGTCAATTCGGTGCAGCTCGACTGTTGTGGGGGTTGGAGGAGATGAATAAGAGGGCCAGCAGTCACCTGCACACAGTAGGCGCTCAATCAGTGACATCGCCCCATTCCTGACATCATCATATTCAAGGTCTGGGAAGGAACCTGGGGGTTGTGACTGGGGTCTCAGTGGCCTTCATCCTGCTGCTCTTCCTCCTCCTCCTCCTCTTCCTCGTCCTCCGACATCAGCGTCAGGGCAAACGCTGGACATCAGGTGAGTAGGGAAGAGGCAGATCCTATGGGCCAACCAAGGGTGGGCTCAGGGCACCAGCCAGAGGGAATCCAAACCGCTGGAAAAATGCAGCTTTGAGAAACTGTTCTAGCATTTCTCACCAGGCGAATCGAGAAAGCACTTCATGTCAGTCCCCACATACAGTTGTGAAGTGTCCTTCGGGCTCTCTCCATCTGAGACATTTGGAGCATGGAAGCAGGAGTGTTTCCAGGTTTCCTTCCTTACCTTTGAGCTGTGTGTGCAGGGCAGGTGTTCCCAGGGCTGAGACTCTGTCCTTCTTCACACAGCCCAGAGAGAGGCTGATTTCCAACATTCTGCAGGGGCTGTGGAGCCAGAACCCACAGGCAGAGGCCTGCAGAGGAGGTAATTCTGCCCGAAGACCCCAGACTCCCACCCACCCCGGCCCATACACTGCCCCTAAAGCTCCCATGTCCTCTCCTAGGTCCAGCCCAGCTGCCGACACCCAAGAAGAAACCCTCTGTGAGTGAGAGGAAGAGGTGACCCCAGCCAGGAGGGAGACGGGGGCCCACAGTTTCCATAGCAATGGGAAAAGGGCACAGGCTGGAAGGGGTCTGGGGCTCAGGGTGACAGGATCTCACCCCACACTGTGGGACCTCGGGACATCACAGCCCCTCCCTGGATCTCAGCTGCCCCATCTGGGAGCTGGGCAGGGGCTGGCGGGGCTGAGAGGTCCCAGGGAACCTTCCCAGGAGATAAACCCCTTGCTTTTACCCAGCAGATGCTGCCGTGAAGGAGACACAGCCTGAGGACGAGGTGGAGCTGGACACTCAGGTGAGACCCCGCCCCTGTCCCAGGCACCAAAGGCCTCCTGGTGCTGGATGTAACCCAGCAGGACTTCTCTGTCCTCCTTCCCCAGCTCTCAGCATCGTCCAGAGTGAACCCTCCATGTCCAGCACGCTGCCTCCCGCCTGCCTACCTCAGTCTCTCCTGGTGTCCTGGGACCTCATGGGCCTCCTCCTGGGTCCCCTTCCTGTTCCTCGTCCTCTTTTTGGCCATCTGGTTGTTAGAGGGCTCCCCAGGCCTCAGGAGGATGAGGAATCAATGAACCACCCCGGTGCCCTGGGCTCCCCTTCATTCATTCACCCAGCGAGTGTTCCCAGGAGCTCACTGTGGATGGGGCTCCCCGTGGCAGCTGCAGACACAGCAGGGAGCAAAGCCGCCCCTGCCCTCCTGAGCTCACCTCATGGTGGGAGACAAAATGCAAATAAACGCACAGTGTCCGGGAGTGTGACGTGCTATAAGGAAAATAAACCAGGGAAAAGGCAGAGAGTGCGGGGCAGTGGGGCCAGTCTGAATGGTAAGGGGAGGGCTGTCTGGTCAGCTGTCATCTGAGAAGCCTGGATGGAGAGGGCCATACCATCCTCTAATGGACGAGCCCCTGCAGGCAGAGGAAACAGCAGTGCAAAGGCCCCGAGGCAGCAGTGAGCTCTTGTGGGAAGGCGGGCGTGAGGCTGCAGCCAAATGGGCAAGGTCAGAGTGAGGAGAGGCCAGAACCGCAGGGAGGGAGCAGCCAGACCCTCCACGGCCTTCAGAGTGAGGAGAGGCCAGAACCGCAGGGAGGGAGCAGCCAGACCCTCCGCGGCCTTCAGAGTGAGGAGGAGAGGCCAGAACGCAGGGAGGGAGCAGCCAGACCCTCCACGGCCTTCAGAGTGAGGAGAGGCCAGAACCGCAGGGAGGGAGCAGCCAGACCCTCCGCGGCCTTCAGAGTGAGGAGGAGAGGCCAGAACGCAGGGAGGGAGCAGCCAGACCCTCCACGGCCTTCAGAGTGAGGAGAGGCCAGAACCGCAGGGACGGAGCAGCCAGACCCTCCACGGCCTTAGCGTGTCCCTGAAATTCCATCAGGAAAGGAATGTAAATGGATCACTCTGGGAACCCTGGGAGAAATTGACTCCAGGGGGTCAGGGGGACTCAAGGATACCCTCCAATCTCTGTCTCTCTTGAGCAGAGCCCATATGATGAAGACCCCCAGGCAGAGACCTATGCTGAAGTGAAACATTCCAGACCTAAGAGAGAAATGGCCTCCCCTGCTTCCCCACTGTCCAGGAAATTCCTGGACACAAAGTACAAACAGGCAGAAGAGGACAGGCAGATGGACAGTCAGGTAGATACTTTCCTCTCCAGGCCCCCAGGCCTCACCCACCTTCCAGCATGTTCCTTCCCTCTCATTCTCACCCCACTGCAGGCTGCTGCATCTGAAGCCCCCCAGGATGTGACCTACGCCCAGCTGGACACCTTGACCCTCAGACAGAAGGCAACTGAGTCCTCTTCATTCCAGGAAGGGGCCCCTCCAGCTGAGCCCAGTGTCTATGCCACTCTGGCCATCCACTAGCCCAGGGCGTACCCAGACCCCACACTCAACAGAAGGAGACTCAGGGACTCCAGAAGGCACGTAAGCTGCCCCCAGTGGATACCAATGAACACCAGCCAGCCAGGACCCCCTAACACAGACCACCAGGACATTCTGGAGACGTTGGGACTCACTTGATTTCTGCAGTCTAAATAACTAATATCCCTATCTTTTTTAGTTAAAGCAACAGATTTCTCAATAATTAATGAGTTAATTGAGTAAACTAAAACAGAAGTCAGAATGTGCTTGAAACTGAATCACAATATAAATATTACACACCATGCAATGAAATTGGAAGACTAAAAAGCACAACTGAATAAAGCAGAAAAGAAAAAAAAAAACTAGGAAATGAATGACCTTGGCTTTCATATCAGGAATTTAGAATAATAATAATAATAAATTATTCAAAATGAAGGTGTAAGGAAGGGAATAATAATAAGAGGAGTTTCTCATTAGGAAAAAACAAAACTTGAAAATTCAACAAAGCCAGTGAAGCTCATTCTTGAAAACATTAATTACACTCATGAATCCTAGCTATAATGAGCAAGAAAAAGAAAGAGCCAGCACGCATTTCCATATGGGAGTGAGTGAGCAGACAGCCCTACAGATCCTACACACATTTTCAAAAACTAACAACAGAACAGGCTGCAGGCCGGGCACAATTGTTCATGCCTATAATCCCAGCACTTTGGGAGGCTGAGGTGGGTGGATCATGAGGTCAGGAGTTCAAGACCACCCTGGCCAAGATGGTGAAACCCTGTCTCTACTAAAAATACAAAAATTAACCGGGCACAGTGGTGGGCACCTATAATCCCAGCTACTCAGGAGGCTGAGGCAGGAGAATCACTTGAACCTGGGAGGCAAAAGTTGCAGGGAGCCAAGAGCCAAGATTGCGCCATTGCACTGTAGCCTGGGTGACAGAGTGAGACTCCGTCTCAAAAAAAAAAAAACCAACAACACAGGCTGCAAGCCTATGCCAATAAGCCAATATACTAGAAAATGCAGATTACACAGACAAAATATTCAAAACTGTAGATTACTTAATGAATGTAAGAGTAAACAGAAATCTGAATCATTTTAGATGTGTGTTTTTCCACATATATATATATATATATATATATATGTGGAAAACACACATATATATACACACACACGTTAACAAAAACGTTCTCATGGTATAAGCTCCAGTTCTCAGGGACTCCAGAAGGCACAGGAGCTCTCTCCAGCAGAGCCTGCATGATTCAGACCCTCAGGCAGTGACCTATGCTGAGGTGAAACACTCCAGACCTAGGAGAGAAATGGTGGAAGCTCATTGGTGATTTTTTTCTTTTTCTTTTTCTTTTTTTTTTTTTTT